TAATTTAAAATCGTGCTGCTGATATTACCTCATTTCCTTTTAGTCTACCACATTAAGATGAGAGTGTCTTTGTGTCTGTAAATATTTCATTAGTATTGAAAGCAACATGAATTTCTTTTATTTTAATAGTTTCAATGAAGAATATTTTTATTTCTAAATGGTGCAACAGGGAGAAGCAATGAAAAAAGATTTTTTATGATGAACAGTGTGGTCATTTTTGGTTAACATGTTTCTTTGTCAGAAAAGCAGGCTGGAAATTATGTATTTAAGAGATGTCTTTTGTAGTTTGTAGGTAGATGAGGGAAATATATTTAAACTGACATATAACTCTGTTAGAAATTGTGTGGAAAGCCAAAAGGATAAAAATATATTTTTTACCCAAGATACTAACTGTATGTGAAATTTATATAAATTATCAACAAATACAATGCACCACAAAATAAAATACTAACAAATTAAACTGTTCAAGCCAACGGGACTTTCTAAAGGAAACACATTTATTACGTTTGTTGAGCAAAGATAACTTGAATACAATAGGAGAGATAATTGTGAGCAGAATGAGGAAAATTAGGTATTTCATATCCCTTTTGTGATGCATTGACTTACAACCTCTGTTAAAGGATCCATGTTTAAATTTGGCCTGGTGTACTACGCAGGGTATTACCTGCAGATGTTCATCAAATGTTCTTGATCACATATAAAAGACCTTCAGATTTAATGAGATCTGTATTGAGAACATTGACCAGTTAAGATGACAGACTACATCTAAGTATTGTACCTACAAAAACATGTTGTATTTCTTGATGTGGATTTAAAGAAAAGTGTTCTTGTGGTCAGGGGACCATGGGTGTGTTGGAGACACTCATGGTTGTGGCTGAGAAGGCAGGATCTGTGTTTTACCTTTTGTTGTGTCCAGGGCCGTCAACAGAAGGGAACTTAAGCAAGTTCATAGAAAAGTAGGATGAAAAAGCAGATTTATTTGGGTTCCAAGAAAATGAAATCCTGGTATAGTTTTTTCATAACAAGTATTTCCTTTGAACATTTTAAAAATGCCTTGTGCAGGGGAGGGTTGGCTAAATACCTTTTCAGGAGATATGAACTTTTAAAGTAACGGACTCCTTCTCCTGTAAAATACTACCCACATTATAAAATACACAGTTTTTATTTATACTTTAACTCACGGACATTATGTAAGAATGTTATTTTAGTTTCTCTACTGCTATGTAATAAATTGAGGAGATAGGTTGGTACCAACGTGCCATTCATTTAGTTCTCAAAATGACAGCTTTCACTGCCAAGACTTGCAAGCATTGTTATTCTGCCTATGCACGGCAGTATGGGCAAATTAAAATTCAAGATCGAAATGTTGTTATCAGTACCAAGAGCTGCAAGTTCTTTGAGAAGAGCCTATCTTTCCTGATAAAGTCATATTTTAATTCTGTGGAGCAAGAAGTTGCAGCTACACATTCCTAATCTGGTTTGATTTAACTGTTTTCTAGAGACTGAAGAAAGGTTAGAAAAGAACTTATGGGATTAAAAAATGTTTAATCTAAGTTGTAAAGGAGCTTGGAACCACACCACAAGCATCATAATTAACTTTAATAAGTATAAATGTAAATGCAGGCAAGCCACAAAGTTTTAATGGTGTGCCACATGCTTCTGCTAATTATTTTAGAGTTTGGACACATTCAGTGTCAGCTAGTTATAAACCCTGCTCTGGAAATCATCTGTTTATATTAGACTTATTGATCTCTAGTGTTTAAGCAATATGAAAAGGGAAATCTACAATGCTGGACCATCTGCTTTGTATTCCTAATTGCTTTTAAGCAATCAAATATATAAATAGTCACCTTTTTATATATTGGGCTTCAAACTCTTTCAAGAAACATATTGTGCAAGCCCAAGTGAATTTTAAAAAGTCCATTTGGAGGGCCCGGCGCGGTGGCGCAACTGGTTAAGGTCCTCACCTTGCACGCCCGGGATCCCATGTGGGCGCCGGTTCATGTCCCAGCTGCTCCACTTCTCATCCAGCTCCCTGCCTGTGGCCCGGGAAAGCAGCAGAGCACGGCCCAAAGCTTTGGGACCCTGCACCCGCGTGGGAGACCTGGAAGAGGCTCCTGGCTTCAGATCGGCATAGCATTGGCCATTGCGCTCACTTGGGGAGTGAATCCTTGGACGGAAGATCTTCCTCTCTGTCTCTCCTCTCTTTATATCTGCCTTTCCAATAAGAAAATAATAAAAAGAAATCTTTTTTTAAAAAAAAGTCCATTTGGAATGTTGTCTCCCTGTCTCTTCTAAAAGTCCTTCTACCCCTTTGCCAACGTCACACCCTCCAACCTTCCTGCAGATCGCTGATGGACCTGCTTTCCTTCAGGGTCTCAAAAACAGCTGAAGGTAGCTGAGATGTTAGATGTTTGCCATCTTTAATTACACATTCCATCCTTTTCCTAGTAAAATATCTGTTTCCTCACCCCAACACAGCCCCATGTAGCCACGAGTGTTTATTGCTGTTTCACACCATGGTTACAAAGGAAGATGCAAGAATAAATGCCCCGGCAAATGGTTCCCTCTTGTGGGCAGTATTTGACTTCATGACAGATTCACCATTCTGGCATGGAGGATGGATGGGACCAGAGAAGCGATAATTCTCATCACTGGTAGTTTCCTCCTACTTGAGTTGTGACTGTACCTGCAGGTTCAGATTCCATGATGAAAGGGTTGAATTCTTAGAATGAGGTGTTTGTTGAATTCATCCAGTTTTGCCCAAGTAGTTTCTTCAGCGTGTTCAACTTACTGACAAAAAATACCTATATTTCCAAAGATATTGCTTTTAAAAATTCTTATTCATTGGGATATTTCTTTGGATGGAATTTGTAATTGTTACTGGTTTTGAATTACTTCTCTTTCTAGTATTTCATTGCACACATTATGACACCTGCAGTAATTGTAATACCTGTACACTTGATGTAATATGTAATAATTACTGTAAAAATGTAATCTCTAGAGTTAAGGTCTCTTTTACCTTCAGGGGTAATGAGAGTTAGACTGAATTTGTAATTTCTTTGAAGAAACAGAATACAAACATAAGATAAAGTTTTAGCTTTTTAATTAATTTTTTCTTCCAGTATTGTAAAATTTGTGATTTCAGTCCTAAAAAATCAACTGAAGAAAAAGAATCCATCTACTGTTTTTTACTCTCTAATGCACTTCAGCAAGAACACAGGAAGGCTTGGTCCGGATGACAGCTTCCTGCCTAATTCCGAATAGTGGAAGAGAGGGATATTCTGGCTAGTCAGTCACCTCAGTTGTAAGAATCCAAGGAAAACAAAGCAAATGCCCTTATTTTTCTGGGACAAAAACAGTAGAATGCTTCATGGTGTTCTTAATAAAACATGACTTGATTGAAAAGATAGCTGCTGCTGTCGGTATTGAGTTGTTCTGTATCTTGAACAATATCTATATAACGTGCACTAGTGATGTTGTAATGATTACATGTTTTCAGCTGTGACTTCTCCACTGGGAAATTGATACTCTTGGTAGTTAGCTACATCTCTACACAGGTATAGTCAGGAGACTTACCTGTGGCCTGGGCCTTACTCCGTTGACTACTGGTATTACTGAGTTTTCATTTTGACACATGCATAGTGGTAGGGTAGACCTCCAGTACAATCCATGTGCATTCTCATCAGTTGCAGGTATTGTTGTTAAGCTTCACAATGAAAAAGAAAATACTTCAAAGTTGTTTGAAATGGCTCATGCTTCCGATACCTTCAAGTACTTACAAAGCAAGAGATTCACTTGACCTGGTCAAGCACCTTTTGATAATGCTAGTATTTCAATTGAATCATACTAGGTAGTGAAAATTTTTTGAAAAATATTTCTTTTAATTGGAAAGTCAGATACACAGAGAGGAAAATCTTCCATCTGCTGATTAACTCCCCAAGCTGCCTCAACGGCTGCAGCTGAGCCAATCCAAAGCCAGGAGCCAGGAACCTCTTCCAGGTTTTCCACGTGGGTGCAGGGTCCCAAGGCTTTGGGCTTTCCTGGACTGCTTTCCCAGGCCACAAGCAGGGAGCTGGATGGGAAGCAGGGCCGCCGGGATTAGAACCAGCACCCACATGGGATCCTGATGCTTGCAAGACAAGGACTTTAGCCGCTAGGCTGCCGTGCTGGGCCCAGTTAGTGAACTTTGTAACAGCAGGTACCCTGTGGATCATGAGTTTTCCCATTGTCATTTAAGACTCAAACAATCTGATGACAATCAGAAAGTCTGCTTTGGTCTGGAGTTCAGGGGACTCGCTCTTCTGTAAATGAAAAGACAGTGGAGCATCTTTTGTTCACAAAATGGACATTAATCTGATTTTTTTGTTTACAAGCCTTCACAGCAAGTCTGTCCTCAGGTCTTACTGCTGGTGAGTTGTAGCAGTTTTCAACATGAGGCAGCATCATGATTCTGTTTCACTGGACACTAAAAGCACAAAAGTAGAAAAGCAATCACCCATATTTTATTTTCTTTAAGATAAAGTTAAAGATCCTGTTTGTCCATTCATAGAATGAAGTATCTTTTAATAGAAATTTGAATATATTAGCATTTTAACATAAAAAACAAAAAATTTATATTACTAAAAAAAACTCTTTATATTAAATAATTTTTTTAAATTAAAAGTCTTAACATTAGTCTTACCCATTTCTTGATCTCTCTTAATTTATCCATAAGAATCAAGCAGTCTTACTCCCAGATGCCTTAAAAAAGATCTAGAGCCAAAAATCATGGTTTCTAGATTAGGCTTCAAAATATCTAATGATTGAATAGATGGTTTAACAAATATTCTACTACCCTAGAGTTACTTAATTCAACTATTAAAAAAGTGGAGAACTATGGTGAGTCATATGAAATTGCACTTTTGTAGGTTAAAAAAATACAATAAAGTGTCAGCAGTTTCATAATGTTTAACTTAATACTTCCTGACTCATTAGCCACTTTTGTATCTTCTTAGGAAATGAGATTGTTTTTTGTGTTTTTTAAAAATGGGCGGGCGGCCAGGGGACGCCTCAGGCGGCTCGGAGGGCCGGGCAGTGAGGCGGGAGCGGCTGGCGGAGGAGCCGCGCTGCAGGGATGTGACTGGACCCGGGCCAGCAGGAGCGCCGGCGCGCTGCGGAGCCGCTGGGGTCGCACGTTCCTGGCGTCAGGAAGAAAGATGAGGACCCACCAGGTGCTCGCCTGCCTCCTGCTCCTGATGGCCACCTCTGTGGCCTCGGAAAATGCCAGCACATCCCGGGGCTGCGGGCTGGACCTTCTCCCTCAGTATGTGTCCCTGTGTGACCTGGATGCTGTCTGGGGCATCGTGGTGGAGGCAGTGGCCGGGGCGGGTGCCCTGATCACACTGCTCCTGATGTTCATCCTGATGGTGCGGCTGCCGTGCGTCCGGGACAAGGAGAAGAGGAAGCCGGCTTGCCTGCTGTTTCTCTTCCTCCTGGGCACCCTGGGCCTCTTCGGACTGACCTTCGCCTTTATCATCCGCATGGACGAGACTATCTGCTCCGTGCGCCGCTTCCTCTGGGGCGTGCTGTTCGCCCTGTGCTTCTCCTGCCTGCTCAGCCTGACATGGCACGTGCGGAGGCTGGTACGCCAGGGCTCGAGCCCGGCAGGGTGGCAGCTGGTGAGCCTGGCGCTGTGCCTGATGATGGTGCAGGTCATCATCGCCACTGAGTGGCTGGTGCTGACTGTGCTGCGGGACACGAAGCCGTCCTGTGCATACGAGCCCATGGACTTCGTCACGGCCCTCATTTACGACATGGTGCTGCTGGCCGCGGCCCTGGGCAGTCCCTCTTCACGCTGTGTGGCAAGTTCCACCGGTGGAAGCTCAATGGGGCCTTCCTCCTCATCACCTCCTTCCTCTCAGTGCTCATCTGGGTGGCCTGGATGTCCATGTACCTCCTTGGCAACACCATGCTGCACCAGGAAGAGGCCTGGAACGATCCGACCTTGGCCATCACACTGGTGGCCAGCGGCTGGATCTTTGTCGTCTTCCATGACATCCCTGAGGTCCACTGCACCCTCCTGCCACCCCTGCAGGAAAACCCACCCAACTATTTTGACACAGCACACTCAAGGATGCGACAGACAGCATTCGATGACATGCACCTGCCACGCACATATATGGAGAACAAAGCCTTCTCAATGGACGAGCAAAGCTCAGCTCGCCGTTCAGCAAGATTTTCCAATGGCAGCTTGGGGAAAAAGCACAGTGGCAGCATAGGGAAGAAACGCAGTGGCAGCTTGGGGAGGAAGACCAGCAGCGGCAGCAGCAGCGTGGGCAAGAAGCACGCTGGCGGGGAGGGTGGCGGTGGTGGCGGAGGCAGTGGCGGCGACGTGGGCAAGAAGCATGGCGCAGGCTTGGGGCACAGACCCAGCGCTCCATTCAGAAGCAACGTGTACCAGCCGACCGAGATGGCCGTGGTCCTCAACGGGGGCACTATCCCCACCGCTCCGCCATCTCACACTGGAAGACACCACTGGTGAAAGACTTTTTAAGTTCCAGAGAAAAAGCATCTCTCTGACCCGTGTTACTCCCTTGGCACTCAGGTGGGAGGCCACCAGCCCGAAGCCCCATCCAGGGGGCAGGCTAGAAAGTTGGGTGGGAAGCAGCAGGATGATGTTATTTGAATGACATCACACCTTGGAGCCTCTCAGGGCTTGTCCTCTACAGTGGCACTGACTTCCCGGGTCTTCTCTGTTGACCTTGGGAGAGCTGGCAGGTGGAGTGGGTCAGGTGAGAGCTTGCTTCCGGAGGAGGCAATGAGGGAGGGAACATACATTTCTGCCCTGGTTTTCTACCAAGTCCATTGTTTCTGCCTTGGTTTCCATCCATCCTCAGCAAGTCATTCCTTTGCTCCTTGGCCTCACCCACATCTCAGCTGTTCAGAGCCCCTCACCTCCACCCCCTTAACACCGTGTTCTTGGCACTGTTTGGCCAGCATAATTGCCAGCAGAAGACACGGAAGGTAGTGGTGGGGGTGGGTTCTTTGGCATAGGCCTGATGGTGGCTGCGTTGCTTTCTCTAAGTAAGCCTTTAACCCTTCAAGACACTGAGAAAGGGGAGTGTCAGTGGAGGAGGTATGAACCCAGCCATCCAAGCTGGGCATGATTTAATAAGCCTGATTTTTCTCAGCCCCCATCCTTACTATTCCCCCTCTACCCCACCGCCCTCTGTACTCCTATCTGTGGAGAACACTGGGGGTGGGGGCAACACGACCAGACAGACCACCCCAGGGGGACCCTCCCTTTTGTTTCCCACCATGAAGGGCACCGGACCACCACCTCACCCAGAGCGTGTGCTTGCTTTCTAGACAATTTGTGTCCCACCCTCTACTCTGGGCTACTGAGCTGGGGGTCATCCTGGAGGGGAAGGCAGGGGGGCAGGGTGGGTGCATGCAGACAGACCCCAGGCGCGCTGCCCTGCCTGGGTCCAGTCTGGTAAGAGACGACAGCCTTGCGCCTTCTCATGCCAGGACGTGACTGCCCACCCCCGCACTCTGGAGTCCTTTGGAGTGACTTGGTGTGCAGGAGCCCCCGCCCTCCCCACTCCTGCAGAAGGGAGCAGTTCACCCGGTCGTTAACTCTAAGTTCTGTGTTGTCCACATGTTGAAGGTGCGAAGAGCATAAATGGTAGGAGGAGAGACAACCTCATCTCCCTCCCACCACTCCACCTCCACCCCATAGAAACAACCACCATGGAGGACTGGCAAGCTCCCTGCATAAGGAGACACTTAAAAAACAAAAATCTGGTAGGTTATTGCACTTTGGGGGTTTGTTTTATTTTGGTGTCAAGGTCAAGACCAGGCTGAACGCCTTCAGCATAGTTGGAGGAGAGTTACTGGGGCAGGCAGGCAAAGGCAGGAGGGACAAAGGGGGAAGATGGCTGTTTGTCCAAGGACTTCACCCCAAGCCCACCAGGAACAGCTGTGCCATGGGACTGTGGCTATCCTGCAGTCCCCCACCTCTACCCGCTCCATGTGGAGCAAGGTCTAAGTACAAAGTTCAAAGGCACCTCTGGTGTGACAGGGAGAAAAGCCCCCAGGAAAAGCGCTTCTGTGATCAGAACCGCTTGTTGTAAGCACAAATCTTTTCATGCCTGGTTATTAGAATCGCTTTGGGACTCAGCCGCTGCTGTTAACCTGCTTCTCCTAGAGAACTTGTTCATCCACCCAGCCTTGATCTCTGTCTGCCGGAGAGGGAGGGCGAGGAATGGGGGGAACCAGCACCAAGAAGCTTATAGACTGGGAAGTTGGGAGTGGCTCCAGGAGCCTGGAGAGGCTGGGAGCTGGGCACGTGCAGGGCTTTTTGGGTTTTTGTTTTTGTTTTGCTTTGGTAGCACAATTGCCCGCTGCAAGCCTGAAGTGCAGCTTGGTTGGCTGAGGCTGTGTTGAAGGTCTCATGCTGCACCCCAAGCAGCACAGGGAGCAATGGTGGCTTTTATAATCCAATGATGCGATGAATCTACCAGCTTCTGGGCACGCTTTTGGCAGGTGCTTTTTATTAATTAAGAAAGAGCAAAGGCTTGGGTTTTTTGGATAGATAATATATATTAATTAAATGTATTAACGTGTGTTTTATAAATCTTCCCCCGGCTGACTGGCCTACTTCTCCAAAACAAAAAATCTCGTTCAATGTCAAGACAATCCACCTGTACTCTACATGACTATATGTAAATGTTGCAGATTTGAAGAGTTCTAAAGCATGGGCAGATAGGTTTTATTTTCCAGATGCTGCTCTTAACATGAAAATAAAGGCTTTACAATTTAAAAAAAAAATGAAATGACATCAAAGGGTAGCATTGTGGCATAGTGATTAAAAGCTGCTGCTTGTGATGCCAGCATTCTATAAGGGTGCTGGTTCGTGCCCTGGCCGTTTTGCTTCTGAGCCAGCTACCTGCTGATGGCCTTGGAAAAGCAGCAGAAATGACCCAAGTGTGTGGGCCCATTGCTTCCCAGGTGAGATCTCTGGAGGAAGCTGCTAATTCGTGACTTTGGCTTGGCCCAGTCTTTGGCCTTTGCAGCCAGGCTAGCGAGTGAACCAATGAATGAAGATGTCTTTCTCTCCCCCCTTCCCTGTGACCTTGGTTTCTTATTAATGAATAAATAAATAAATATAGTTTTAAAGGGAGCTAAATCATTTGATTGTATCTTAACTATGGCAGTGCAAGTAAGAAAAGCCAAAAATACTAGGACCTGAAAAATAAGACTTTCATTAATTGTGTCTATTTTATCAGCCACCAAATGGCATATTTATGGGTTCACAAAGTTTCTACATTGTCAAATATCTACCTGATTACAGATTCTCTACTATGTACTTTTGATGAGGATTGCATATCAACGTCACGTTTTGTTTGATAAAACTCTTCACGAGACTCCGTGAGATTTTCTTGTGCAGGGAAGACCATCCTAAGGGTTGGAGTAGATTGCACTGGCTAAAGCCTGTGAAATCCTACGTGATTGCCACCTGTTATCTTTGGCCTAGTTCGCAGTGCTTGAGTTTGTAGAAGAAACTGACAGACTAATGATGAGATCCATAACATTTTCTAGGTACCAGGAATTTGATGAGAGGCATAATAATCTACAGGACTAAGTCTTTTTTGGGTTATATTTTTGAATATCATCACTGCCAATAGATGTACTGATTCTAATAAGCATTTTAAAGCTGTATTTGCAATTGTATTGTATATTTTCAGGATGGACTGACCATACCTAGGAATACCTAGGAATTTAGATTTATCAGCTTTTAAGGGTATAGCCTCCCCGGGGACTCATACTTTATAAAAGTATTGTGGCCACTGCTTCCTCACACATTTTAGATATTTGATAATAGTTATATGAATACTGGTTATCTGAAAGGGACTAAGTATTACCAGAATATTAAATCAGAAATGAATCTTATTCCCTATTTTTGCTCACGTTTTCTTACTAAATCACATATCTTGTGATTGAATCTTCATTATGCAGCCAAATATTTTGATGTTTTGCTGTTTTTTTTTAAATTCTAATCAGCATTGAGAATGTTACTCATTTCAGATGTTGGGGTGAAAAAATCATTGGGGAAAATGGGAACTTAGTGATACTCCTTTGGTGAGGACCGAGTCTCCTGGATGTGGGGATGCAGTCAGCCCCTAGTAAAGCTATGATGTTCTCCAAACATACAAAACATAGGAGTAGTTAATTGCATTTTTTTTCTCTGGAGTTTCAAGAATAGTACAACCTGGGAATACACACTGTCCTCAGAAGATGAGAAATGATTGCTGTGTGTGTAATTCATACATTTCTTATTTTTCAAACTCTCTACCTAAACGTTTATATTAAAACCTCAGAAACAGCACCCTTCAGTTAATAAACACACGTATGTATCGTTTTATTTTTTTAAAGAAAAGACAACAAAAGAAGAATGTTTATGCCAATTTGCAAGACTTATTTTACAACAAAATAGCAGTTCTCAAACTAAATTTGGAGTTTCAGGCAAACAGTTTGTGAAATAGCCAAAATAATAAATTCCCCGGGATTAAGAAGAGCTTGGCGACCTCCAGGTGTATTGAACCCTCTGAAAAGCTGGAATTTGGCTGCAAAAGTCGAAGCAGGGCAGCTCTCTTAGCATTTGGCTCATTACAGTAGCTTCTTTGGGAGGGGGTGGCAACAAATGGGAATATTTTTTAGAGTTGTAAAGGGTACGTAAGAAACTAAACTTTCCTCTTCTTTGATTACCTGATGGAAAGGGTTAAATGTTCTATGTAGAACACTGAAGTTTTATTATATAAGATGACCTTAGGAACTGTCATTTCCCTTGAATTTATACAAAGAATGCAAAGTCAAGGTTTTCTAGGTTACACTTCTTTTTTCAACCCTTTGTCCTGTCAGCTCAGTCCTTGATATCTTCATCTGCCGACATGCCCAGATGTGCAGTGAATGTTGATTTGAGCTGGCCCCTCAACCCCTCCCTGCTGGTGTCATTAAAACCAGGGAGGCAGCGGCTCCCCTGGCATCTTTGGCACGGCTTGGCTTTACACTGCGGACTAAATTATTGATGAAGAGCACTTGTGTCGCAGTGTGTTTTACCCACCTTTAAATGAAACTGCGGATTGAGCTGTCACTGCCCCCTCACTCCCTGCGACTTCTACATGACATTTATGATGTGGTTCAGATTGCACTGAAGCAATTAATTTCCAGTACAGTCTGCACTCAGAATGAAGAGCCCTGAACATTAGTGAGGGCTGGTTTCTCAATAAACACACGACACACTCATCGATACCATATACAAAAGGAAAACACCAAAATACAAGAAAAGAGGTCTCTGGAATTTGTGGTCCTTTCCTGCCCTTCAGACTGAGTTCCGGATTCTGAGTCTTTAGGTTATGTGGTTAGCTCTCCCAGTGTTATTCAGAGAAGGGTGAACTTGCCTTCCCAGTACATATTTTATAGAAACCTACCAAAATGTTTACAAGATCTTCTTGGCTACAATATATGTTTATTCTAGTTGAAGCCCCTTGTCTGTTTTTGTTGGTTTGTTTGTTTTTGCCAATATCATATTTTTTGGTATTCACATTCAGTTTTTTTTTTTAAGATTTATTTTTATTATTTTTTTCATTGGAAAGGCGGATATACAGAGAGGAGAGACAGAGAGGAAGATCTTCCATCCAAGGATTCACTCCCCAAGTGAGCGCAACGGGCCGATACTATGCCAATCCGAAGCCAGGAGCTTTTTCCGGGTCTCCCACGCGGGTGCAGGGTCCCAAAGCCTTGGGCCGTCCTCGACTGCTTTCCCAGGCCACAGGCAGGGAGCTGGAAGGGAAGCGGGGCTGCCGGGATTAGAACTGGCGCCCATATGGGATCCCGGGCGTGCAAGGTGAGGACCTTTAACCACTTGCGCCACCGCACTGGGCCCCACATTCAGTTTTTTAAGGGATTATTTGACCCTGATTTATTTTTAATTCAGTGAATGAATCAAGCAGCATGTTGTGCATATATGTGTGTTTGTGTATATGTATGCTTCAGTGGGTGTGCATGTCTGTGCACAGGTATAGGTGAGCGGATTGTTTGCATGGAACTCAATATGCACTTCCAAATATGTGAAATTTAGGGTTTTATCTGTAATAAAAGAATTTTCTTATCTGTTGCTGTTTAAGAATTATCAAATTATATTCATAACTTGGGAAATAATAGTCTTAATTATAAAATATTTTTAAAGACTTTTGTTTTTGTATCTGTGAGAATATGAGATATCAAGTTAGGCTATTTATAGTATTTGAAGGATTCTCAAAAAGAATTTAAAGAATATATTTAAAATATTTGTAACTAGGCATAAATTATTCTCTTGGATATCTAGTTCCCTTTCCCTCTTGTTGGCAATATTAATTTCTGTGGTCAACTTTCTTTTTAACAAATATTTATTTATTTAGGCCTAGCACAATGACTCAGTAGCTAAATCCTTGCCTTGCATGCACTGGGATTCCATATGGGTGCTGGTTCATGTCCCAGCTGCTCCACTTCTCATCCAGCTCCCAGCCTGTGGCCTGGGAAAGCAATAGAGACCGGCCCAATGGTTTGGGATCCTGCACCCGTGTGGGAGACCCAGAAGACTCCTGTGATTCCTGGCTTTGGATTGGCTCAACTCTGTGCATTGTGGCCACTTGGGGGGTGAAACAGCAGACAGATTTTTCTCTCTATCTCTCCTTCTCTCTGTAAATCTGCATTTCCAATTAAAATAAATACATCTTTTAAAAACCCCCACAAATATAATTTTTTTTGAAAAATCATGATATATTGAGATTGGGAGAGACAGAGAAAAATCTTTGAGCTGCTGCTTAACTCTCCAAATGGTCTCAGCACTGGGAGGCTGTGCTAGGCTGAACCCAGATAACAGAAACCCATTTAGGTCTCCGAAGAGGTGAGAGGGGCTCAGCACTTGAACCATTTTCCATTGCTTTCCCAGGCACATTGGCAGGGAGCTGCATGGAAACTGGAGCAGCTGGGACTTAAACCCTCTGTCATGTCACATGGAATGTCAGCATCAAAGGTGGCAGTTTAACCTACTGTGCCACAAAAGCAGTCTCATATATCCTGTTTTCCCAAACTGCCTCATGCTGAGCAAGAGTGTATCCAGAATTAAAGAGTCCTAATTTTCAATCTTGTTTTCATTTGAATTCCATTGCTTCTAAGCCTACAATGTGTAGTTGCTGTGTTGTGAAGTGCTTCTTGGAGACAGCCACATCCTTGTGTTTTGCAGAGGTAGGGAGCAAGGCATTAGAAAGAGAACCAGTGAGAAACTTAAGAGAGGATCCGGGAAATAGCTTCTGTACTTGGAGACTCTTGACGGAATAGATGACGTGTCAGTCAGGTTGTATCATCACACCTTGTGAGACTCTAACCATTGATGAAGGGTGTTTTACATGCCATTATACGTTTTCATTTGTTTCCTCCCTAAAGTGCACACACAGTTCTGTATTTGATAAACAAAGAATGGAGAATGTTTTCTGTATTTTCTGATCTCAGATATGATGTTCTCTAGCTCTGTTGAAATCCAGACAGATGGAAGATGAAATTGTTCCTCTTAGGATTCTGAATGTGATCTCATTCTTCTTTATCTTTAAAGCTATTGATGATACCAAATCATTCTTTCTTACACGTCAGGAGATTATGATTCAACAGGATGGATTTTAGGTAAAGAACTTCATCCTACTTGTGCCTCAAATAATTTGTCGATTTAAAAAAAAGATAAGAATATAGTCTGTTTTT